AAGGGGCCAGAATGACAAATCTTTGGCACTCTATATCCCGAAATTGGGAAATATTTTGATAAGCAGTGTTGAATAAAAGATGTTCAAAATAAGGTTTTAAACAGTATGTAACCTTTTCATTTTTGCTAAACGCCCCCATTAAGGAGTTGAAGGGCCGGCCCCTAAATATTTCTTTTGCATATATCTCGGAAGCAAAAAAGAATTTCAGAATAGTTGTTGAACAAAAATGTTCAAAATCATGAGAGCTATATGAAGATACCAAGAAAAAAGGACTGGCCACTCAAAATAGGGGCCAGGACGGGCCGAAAGCCTTTAATCTATAACTCTTTAATGATCAATATTTTAATACACACTACTGAAGCAAAATTTTCGTCTTAACAATTTATTCTTATAATTATATTTGAACAAAAATCTCAGTCAAATTCTGATCTCATCTTATCAAAAATCGGATGGAAGACCCACTCGTTGCTCGCAACGAGATCGCATCTAGTTATTATTATTTTTTTCTGTCCAAATTTTGTGCAGACGATTTCTCGGAGATGGTTGGATGGATTCACTTGAAATTTTTTAGAGATGATGTATCATGATGTAAACCTAATACATTTTCTTTATTTTTTGGAAATTCACTTCCGGTCGGAAGTTATCGCCCTTTAATCGAATTTTTAGTGACCATTTTGTCTACACAAAAACTCAAAAATGACAAAAGCTAGAGTGCTGAAATTTTCAGTGATAATAGAGGACATGTTCTAGTTGTGCACCTCAGTTTTCAAATTTTCTTGAAGTGCCTAGTATGGAAGCTCGGTAGGGGTCAAAATTTAGGACATGAATCAGGAGTGAATTTTCGAGACATTTTCTATCATATCTTCAAAACTATAAATATTTTCTTAAAACATATTGAACAGAAATTGTGAAGAATAATAAGATCTTTTTTATGATATCAAGAAAAAAGGGCTGACTTATCACATTAGGGGCCAAGAGGGGCCAAAAGTCTTAAATCCATAACTCTTAAACGATCAATATTTTGATATACATTACTGAAGCAAAAATGTTTATCTGAACAATCTACAACTACATATTATGATAAAAATCTCATATGTTACAAAATTAGGGGCCATAAGGGGCCAGAATGCTAAATCTTTGATACTTTATATCTCGAAAGTGGGAAATATTTTGCTAAGCAATATTGAACAAAAGATGTTCAAAATAATGTTCTAAACAATATGCAACCTTTCAATATTTGCTAAGCGTCCCGATTAAGGAGTTGAAGGGCCGGCCCCTAAATATTTCTTTTGCATATATCTCGGAAACGAAAAAAAAATCTGAATAGTTGTTAAACAAAATGTGTTCAAAATCATAAGAGCTTTAATGTGATATCAAGAAAAAGGGGCTGGCCCCTCAAAATCGGGGCCGATAGGGGCCGAAAGTCTTTCATCAATAACTCTTTAACGATCAATATTTTGTAAAATATTACTGCAGCAAAAATGTTTATCTGAGCAAACTACAAGTATATATTATGTTATTCACATCATATGTTACATAATTATGGGTCGTGAGTGGCCGAAATACTAAATCTTTGACGTTTTATATCTCGAAAGTGGGAAATATTTTGCTAAGCAATATTGAATAAAAGATATTCACAATAATGTTCTGAACAATATGTAACCTTTCAATATTTGCTAAACGTCTCCATTAAGGAGTTGAACGGCCGGTCCCTAAATATTTCTTTTGCATACTCTCGAAAACGAAAAAGAATTTCTGAATAGTTGTTGAACAAAAAGTGTTCAAAATCATAAGAGCTTTAAGGTGATATCAAGAAAAAGGGACTGGCCCCTCAAAATAAGGGCTGATAGGGGCCGAAAGTCTTTCATCAATAACTCTTAAACGATCAATATTTTGTAATACATTACTATGGCAAAATAGATCATCTTCACTTTCCTTAACTTTATAACATGTTGGTGGCATCATATGTTACGTTATAAGGGGACATTAGGGGCCAGAATGCTAAACCTTTGACGCTTTATATCTCGAAAGTGGGAAATTTTTTGATAAGCAATATTGAATAAAAGATGTTCACAATAATGTTCTGCACAATATGTAACCTTCAACTTTTGCTAAACGTCTCCATTAAGGAGTTGAAAGGCCGGCCCCTAAATATTTCTTTTGCATATATCTCGGAAACGAAAAAGAATTTCTGCATAGTTGTTGAACAAAAAGTGTAGTAGGGGCCAAGACGGGCCGAAGGTCTTTCATCTATAATCTTTAATGATCAATATTTTGTTATAGATTACTGAAGCAAAATTGGTCGTCTTAACAATTTATTTATATCATTATATTTGAACGAAAGTCTCAGTCAAATTCTTATCACATCTTATCAAAAATCGGACGGAAGACCCACTCGTTGCTCGCAACGAGATCTCATCTAGTTATTATTATTATTTTTCTTCCTGGGTACTTTTTTGTCCGTGAGTGATCTCCGAAACTATACATCCGATTGAGTTGAAACCTTTTTAGGGTTAGTAGGAATGTTATGTAGATTTGCGGAACGAAGGTCATTTTGCGCGCACGTGCATGCACGTGCGTGCGCGTGCAATGAGTAAAATGACCAATATACTTGATATAGCCATAACTTTTATATCTTTTGATGAAATACTTTGATACTCAGAATATAAGGATATATTAATAGTGTAGACAAGATGACATGGTCAGAATGTACATGCATGCACGTGCGCGCATGCGCATTGATTGAAATAACCAATACAATTGATATAGACTTTACTTGTACATTTTTTGATGAATTGCTTTGAAACTCAGAATATAAATATATATTAGAAGTGTAGACAAGAAGACTTGATCAGCGCACACATGCATGCACGTGCGTGCACGTGCGTGTGCGTGCAATGAGTAAAATGACAAATATACTTGATATAGCCATAACTTTCATATCTTTTGATGAAATGCTTTGATACTCAGGATATCAGGATATATTAATAGTGTAGACAAGATGACATGGTCAGAATGTACATGCATGCACGTGCGCGCATGCGCATTGATTGAAATAACCAATACAATTGATATAGACTTTACTTGTACATTTTTTGATGAATTGCTTTGAAACTCAGAATATAAATATATATTAGAAGTATAGACAAGATGACATGATCAGTGCGCACATGCATGCATTTGCATGCACGTGCATGCGCGTGCAATGAGTAAAATGACCAATATACTTGATATAGCCAGAACTTTTACATTTTTTGATGTAATGCTTTAATACTCGGAATATATAGACATATTATAAATGAAGACAAGACGACATTGTCAACATGCATATGCATGCACGTGCGCGCGCATGCAATGCTAAAATGACCAATATACTTGATATAGCTGTAACTTTTATACTTTTTGATGAAATGATTTGATACCCAAAATATGTAGATATATTAATAGTGTTGACAAGATGACATGATCATCATGGACATGCATGCACGTGCGCGCACGTGCAATGCGTAAAATGATAGATATACTTAATATAGCCGAATTTTTTTTATCTTTCAATGAAATTTGAATATAAAGATGTATTAAAAGTGTAGACAAGTTGACATGGTCATTTTGTACATGCATGCCCGTGCGCGCGAGTGTAATGCGTAAAAAAAAAACCCAATATACTTGATTGCCTTATTTAATGAAGCTTACAGGGAATAAGACACCAAAAGGAAGTTGGGGAGCGTTTGGGGAACATCTGTAACGGTCCCCGTTACAATTAATACTAGTCATGTATGTGCTCGACTTCACACGCCTTGGAAAATATGTAATTGGTTGTGGTAGATGCTTGTGTGTTTGCATATGTGTCCAGCTTCACACATTTTCATGTATGTGCTCGACTTCACACGCCTTGGAAAATATGTAATTGGTTGTGGTAGATGCTTGTGTGTTTGCATATGTGTCCAGCTTCACACATTTTCATGTATGTGCTCGACTTCACACGCCTTGGAAAATATGTAATTGGTTGTGGTAGATGCTTGTGTGTTTGCATATGTGTCCAGCTTCACACATTTTCTTGTATGTGCTCGACTTCACACGCCTTGGAAAATATGTAATTGGTTGTGGTAGATGCTTGTGTGTTTGCATATGTGTCCAGCTTCACACATTTTCATATGTGTGCTCGACTTCACACGCCCTGGAAAATATGTAACTGTGGTTGTGGTAAATGCTTGAGTGTATGCATATGTGTCATGCTTCAGAGAGAGAAGTTTTGTGTGGTCTTTTCTACAAGATAATGATTATTTAAATATACTCCAAATACATCCTCTAAAGAAATGGATAATCATAATGAGTTACATACTAAGTCCCTCAGTGCATAATATACACAATTTTACTGAAATTAAACTTGTGCAAAAACTCTCTTGCTCAATAACTTTCATTATTATAAATGCTTGAATGTTCATCTATAAATTTTCAGATATTTTCTAGTCAATGTATATATTCTTGATCACGATGGCATCCATATTTGATTCCCCTCTCTGCCATCTTTTCTTGGTCACCAATTCAACAGTAGGCTGGATACTCAGATCTCTCTGGTGTTGGACAAAAGGAGGTGCTAATAATAAACATAATCTTCGAAATTATAGATAATAACATCCAATTCTTTTCCAGGTTTGCATTAATTAGTTATCTTTTGAAATTAAAGCACATCTGCAATATCCTTGAAAACTTGCCAAGATACATAAAATGTTTGTAGCATGCTTTAACTCCTTTAATTTTATTTTTGGAAGTTTAGAATATTAGAAAAAGCGAGTTCAAATATAAAAATAAGATGTAAAAGATCTTAATAATGAAGATTCATTTACACAATGTGATAAACACTGAAGTCAATTCCTCACCTGGCTTGCTCGTAATTTATCTTCATAATGGAGTTGATTTTGTGCTGATCACTTACAATCATTTAAAAAAAACTTCTTCATCTCAAACTATCTGAAGGTCATCCATCTTCCCAACTGCCACTCACCCAAATTGTACCGAGACTTCTGACCTGTATAATATCCAAATTCAAGATTAAAATAAAAAAAAAATCTCTTCACCATATTGGTCTCTTTAAAAAATGTGAGAAAATAATTTTAAATACTTTTCTAAAGATGGAATAATGTAGTGAGTCTCTAACAATGTTTAAAAATATTTTGATCTCTGTACAGTAAAAACATGAAAAAGTCATGTCCCTTATATTTGAAAAAAAACTTCCATTCTTAAGGACATTACCCAACATGGAAATAATGTACATTTGTCTCTGGCACAACCAATCCACAAGAGACCTTTCCATACTTAGCACCATGCATTAGCTCTCCACTCTTTGTTTCTACAAAAGATAAATTATGAAAAGGTAATTTTTTGACAGCTAAGTCAGATTAATTATTTTCCAGCCAGTGATGAACAGAATATTTGATTTCCTTAATAATCAGGGACAGATTATTCATGTTTATCTATAATGAACAAAGTTTGACCCCCCTCCCCCCCCCCCCCCTTATTGCCACTACAAAAGGAAAAAAAATAAACTGACTCAGAAACTCTTATTTCAGTGAGGAAAAGGCAATAATGGCATCAGACAAGGAAAGATTATTATTCCCCTTTCCAGTTGAGATGAGATTATATCTCTGTACATTTTGGAGGTTAATATCTTTAACCCCCCCCCCCCGCATCAAACAAAAAATAGTCGCCTCTTTATTTAGCTGTCCTAAATCTATATCAAAATTTTTATTATGATGATATTTTTTCATTTTAATTTATTATATCCTGACACTGATACACAGTGGTAGGAGATGCAACAAATTAAGAGGTGACCCCTCTTCCCTCCCTCCCCTAGATGTTTCGTCTGAAATTTTAAACGACTGTTGTTCAATATCTTGAAAGACAGAAAACAGTTATACACAACAAATAAGCACATTTTCATTACCTTGCAGTCAGTGTCGAGTGACACACGTAAACAACATCCCGCAATCTCTTTCAGTCTTTGTTTATTCTTGGCGGAATTTTGTGGCCTTGTAGACTGGTTCCCATACATTGCAAATGCCCTGAATAAGTCATACGCTTATTAGTTCTGTTTATTAGACTGGCTTGCCTGTCTGATATGCGCGATATACAGTCTCTTTCGAACGATAGAGACAGGCAATACCAGTCTATTCTGTTTATAAGAGGTAATATCAGTAATATGTCCCATTCATTTGACAACCTTTACTTTAAAATACTGAAATATATATTATCATATTATACAGATGTTTTCCACCTCAGTATTGTGTAATCTTCTTCATCCAAGTCTTCTCGAATACAAAACGAACGATCTACTTTTAATAGTAACCCAAATATGGCACAGTGTATTCGGTTGAATAGCCAATCATTTCAAATCAAGTTGAGCGGGTCTCATCGGATTTTCTGGTATTTTTGACGAAAATATGCAACCAGTGATCAGTTGATTTGATACCTTTTCATCTACCGGTAGATTTAAGGAGGTTATTGCTTGGAAAACTGCTCGAGCTCCCGGGCTGGCATGCACTGCAGGTTTGTTTACGTTTTCCATCTGTTTTCAGCATACATTGTGGAACATTGAAACTGATGAAAGTCAGGAAAAACTACGCTAAATACGTATTTTAGATAAGTTACTTGATAAATTGGGAATACTGTTCCATTTTTTTCTGTAAAGGATCATGGATTAAACAAGACCAAGAAAAACAATTCTAGGTCACAGTTTTAGAATGTTTAGCAGTTTACATTAGTGCTAGAAAAAAAATAGAAGCCAGGATAGGGGAAATGTTCTTAATAGAGGGCAAGTTCGTTTATATTTTATAGATATTATTTTGTATTCTAATCCATGTCCATTTTTCAAAAACAGGTACAGTGAAATCAATTATGCAGGTTCTTGAAGAAAAAAAGTCATGGATGAGAACAATGTATGATTTACCAGACCAAGGGATACCAATGTTTTTTGACGGTACTTGTATGTATTAGTTTTAAAAAAAATCAATAAATTGTATCATAAAAATGTTACTTAAATTATTTACATTATCAATTGCTTGACTTGTTCGGGAGTCAGTATAATTATACATTTCTGTTTTCAAAAAATGTGTTATTACTTTTTCCAGGCTCCAGCTACTCAGCTTACTGTGAGAGAGTTAACGCCTTATTGACAGATCTTTCATGAAGAAGAAACACTTGAGAAGGGTTCAATAGTTTAATTTTATAGATGGCAAGTATTGCTTGCACCTAAAGTATTCTTTAATTGTGAAGAAAACAAACATAAGGGTGTTCGGCAATTCATAGCTATTGACTGTGATTGCATTGTGTATTTTTAAAATCATTCTTTGGTATGCTTCAAACTCAAATGTATTTATGAAAACATTGACTACATTTCTCCAGATGTATGAAATGTTTATCAAAATACGAATTCCATTTTAGCATGTTATCTTCAACATGAGGGACCCCTCAAATTTACAATTCCAAGATCAGGAAGTAATTCATGAGCAGCAACATGCTACTGGGAGAAAGGTACATATATCCTAAACCATAACTTGAGTATCACATTATAGCTCGATAAGCAGCAACTATTGGTCCTTTTGTTACCTAATTACTAGAAGGAAAATGGAGTTTATTATATGTGTTCAGTAATTATCCATAGATACTGATGCCAGTACTTTTTCACAAATTATCTTGCAAGTAAGACAAACATTTTCCAATTCTGCAAAAGTATCTTAGCTACATAAGGTCACGAGAAATCTTATATTACTCCTACATTAGTATATTTTGTAAATAATCCTTTCAAAAGAAAAATTAGGTAAGGATAAACAAAGAAATTACAGTTATTAAATTTTAATCTTATGGGTAAGATAAGGGCTAGTGGCCCAGTCCATTTATATCATAAAATAAGTTAATAACAACATGTTCATCTGTTTGTACCTGTCTTATTTAATAAGATTAACATCGTCTTTCTGGTAAAAATAAAGGCTGACATTAATGGTTCAAAATATTTTCTTTTTGAGGTTAAAGGTCATGTATGAAATTTTTATCTATTAATATGGTTGCATCTTGTTTCAATTTTAATTAGTCATGATACTGTGAATACTGATATCACAGTTTATTTGAATTTATAACACAGATGCCTATGAAAATATTCATATTCATGTTACTGAATATATATATATATATTTTTCTTTTAAGGAAAATAGTAGAAGACTGCCTGCATGAGAATAAAAGTTTTGGACTCTGAAAAGGAAGATGTGACAAAATATATATTTGGACAGTTGTTGATTTCCACAGAAACACATGTCCAGTAACAAGAAAGCGGAGTGCAGTTTCATGTCAATTCAAATCTTTAAATTCAAGGATGAACAATTGGTTCTTTATAAAACAAAATGACATGTTTGAAAAGGATTTTGGTGAAATGTACTCTGTCCTGGATACTTATTTATGTGTATGGGATTTGCAGGATAGACTATGAACAACAGATACTGTCACAAAATTTGATGTTTTTGATTATATATTTGTATAAAAATGTTTGGTATAGTAATAAATAAAGTTTAATTCAATCTGTTGTTACTTAGTATATTAAGGAAGGAAAAGCTTATTTATCATATGCACAAGCTTTATTCAAAAGAATGAAAAACAGTTATTATTAACTTTTGTGGCTATTAAAGATGGTATTTAATTAAATTTAATATTTGTAATTATCAGATTTAATGTACCCCAAATATTGTGTTTAATGTTTGTAAATATTAACTTTACTTTTTTGTAAAGTCAAGAAAAAGTGGGACATTACATCATATTTAAGTGCATGTAAAGTTAATGTAAAGGTTACCTTTTCCAACTTTGACTTTTTTCAGAAAAGCCAATTAAAGGCATTGTAAATATTAAATTTACATTATCTTTACTTGTTTTGTAAAGCCAAATTTTCATGCAGTGAGAGAGAGAGAGATTAATGAATGGAATCGACAAATTGTGCTGGTAGTGATGTTGCACATGTAGATATATAAAGGGCAAAAGAACAAATAGATAAGAATTATTCAAGATGTGTATATTTAGACACACTTTTATGATGTTTGCACCTGAAAAACCTATCATCATATAAGAAAAAATATCGGTATAAATCAATCAAACTTTGACCGGAGATATTGCATAATCGCTCTTTCGATTTACGAACAATTCTGAGAGCTGACATTAAATAAATAAATGAAAAATCACTTAAAATATTTTGTATCACTAACTCGACAAAAACTCAAAATGGGAGAACGTTACGATAAAGAAAAATTCGGTCCCTTACCTGACAAAGAAATCGAGACACTGTTAAATTTGCGATATCTTAAACACGAACAGCTAGAGTACATTTAATTATAAACCTAATTGAAAGTCAGACAATTAGAATATAAGCTAACAAGAAAAAAAAAATAGCGCACTTTATCAACTTACTGCCTTCCAAAATTGATGACTGGACATGCTGACCCGGAGAAGTCAAAATCTAAAGACCGCCAAAAGTAAAAATAAGCAACAACAGCAACAAAACGGATATTCGCAGAAGTTTGGAAACGGACACACAGACACTAGAAGGAAAAGATGGAAGGTCTGAGCAATCAAAATAATGGAATTTAAATAACTCCAAAATGTATCAGCATATTAGGGATTGCAGACTGAATATGTGTTCCGCATTTTGTGACAAGACATGCCACCAATGCGGAAAAATAGTTCAGCAAACATTTCATTCAAGTTTATGGGAATTAAAATCGCTACGAAAAATAATCAAAAGGCAAGATATCTTCACCATCCCTAACTCTACTAATTGTTGGTCATGACCCCAAACTCTTGACATGAAAACTTTAACCGAAGATCATTGACAACTGTAATATAGATGCACTAGGCCATCATTAAAAATATCTTTGTTTCCCCTAACCCGACCCTAGAATCTGAAGTTTGGTAGGTAGGTAGGTAAATATTTATTTTTTTCTGACAGCAGCTTTGAAAATACATTCTGAATTTCTGATAAGAACGGGTTTTGATGAAATTGTATTTTATAAAAGTTGATAAACATTTAAAAAAAAAAAAATTTGAATAATCTTCTTAAAAAAACTTTTCAGTCGGCGGGATTTAATTGGGTCGGTCGCGTTAGGGGAAACAAAGGTATTTTTTATTTTGGCCTTATAGATTTTGTATTTTTTTCAGCAATTAATAGAAAACTGTAATCTGATCACGTTTGTGACAAAAGTGAAAAATGGTATTGTCTCATGACCTTGACGAGTGATCTTGATTCAATATCAGCTATGCTTACATATATTTTAATTCAATGCATTCAAGGGAAAACAATTGATTGAAAATGAACTGTTCATGATATGATCTACATATTATATAAATATTGCATGTATGGTTTTTGAGAGGTGAAAATTTTCAATGTTACACTCAACTGCATGCAATATTTATTATATTATGCTGAATGTTTTCTACAAATACATATAACAGTGAGTCTTGTGCGCATAAATTCTGCGCAGGCAATATTTTTTGGAATATCACCAGTCGTCAAGCAATGTTGACTGTTGCTATGTGGCTTCATCATTCAGCGGGTAACAGTGTTTTTTAACAAATGTTTCTCGACGAATCAGATTCAACTAATTTACATGAAAGTATAATATTTATTATCATTAAACCTTGACACCATAAGTAAAGATCATAGCAAAAAACCTAAACATTGGACATTAGCATAGTCATTCTTATCCAAGGTAACAAAAGTTCCAACTGTTTGTTCACAATTTGTGACATGATTCAAAATTTTATTACATGTATCATGTAACCTTGACCTTGTATCAGATTACGACACACCTTAAGGATTCACTCTAATCATTGACAAAGACGGGATAATATGTTCAGTACTATTAGTGGCGGACAGCTAGATCGAACTGCAGACATTTGCAAGCATAGCAAAAGGAATATTTATAGTTATCTAATTATCAACTTTTTGTTATTTTCATTGACAAGTCGTCTTTAAATGCCAATTCAAATTGGAAATG